TTTCAAGTTATTCCAACAATTTACTCATTATTTGCTGGATAGTTTTTGGTTTTTTGTTGCTAGGTGAGAGTTCTTAGGTCTTCTAGTGGTTCACGACTATTCACTGTCAATATCTCTACCTCCTCTCCTTCCTCTTCAGTATCCACTCAGTTTCTTTGAATGTCCCATATGCACTCCAGCCACTTGGGCAGAGGAAAACCAAGTCCTCCTAAACACCCTACTCTATGCTGGTAGATACTTCCACCCTTTTACGTACCATTTTCCAGACTTTTTTTTTTTTTTTTTTTTGCAATATAAGAGGTATCATTCTTAATCCTTGGATCAATAGAAGTTACCACAAGCCAAATGAACAAAGTAATCAACTTCCCCAAATTACATGCTTGATAGATCAAAGAGAAAGAGGAAACTTTTCATTGATCTTTCCAGCATGTTCCTCTTGCAAACCTGACTTTTGCCCTCCCCTTAAAGTTAATCACTATTTTCTCCATATAAACTTCTACTAAAAATAAGCTTTTATTTGTACTTCCCCTGCCTTTAGATTTTTGTCTCCTTTAAAGTCGACAGTAAATTCTTTGGTGCTAAAAGTAATGAGATAAATGGGATTAAGTAGCCATATGTTAATTGCCTACTCACTGAGAAATCATAGTGCAGCAAAATGTGGGTATGTAAGAAAATTTATTTTGGAGTATTCTTTAGCATGACACTTAGGGAAAGAATTCTAAGTTTTACCCACAAACACTAGGACACATTTCCACCTTTTTTTCTGATTGTATTAATTACTTGCTGACTTCATTGACCAAATTATCCTATTTGTTTTAGTCATGTGTACGTGAAAATTTATACACAATTGAGGACAAATTTTTCAAGCTTTGGAACTGCATATCTAATAAGTTAGAACATATATTCATCATCTCATGGTGGCTGAGTATATTGATAGGGCCAAAATTGATCTGAGACCCCTCCAAAAATTAACAGAATTCTAAAAAATAGGCATGTGGATGAAAAAAGACTATAAAACATATTAGGTTTTAACAACAGGACAAAAAGTCAGGTATGTAAATAACACACAAATGTCAAAGCAAGGACAAGTAACTCTTGCTGGTGAGCAGGCTATGTAGAAAGTGGCTTCCCAGTGGTTTTGTCAACTAGATTCCCCAGGACACAAATTTTGAGATGGAGATAGCATGTAGGAAATCAGTCAGGGAGCACTTTGGGGATGAAAAGGTAAGGAAGAGAAAGGAATGAAGCCAAGAATAGAGGAAGAAGTTAGGTACAAGACAGTCTTAATGAAGGAAGCCCACAGGACGCTCTGAGGCTCACAATGTACTGCAGAATGGCCACAAGTTGAAGCAGGGTGCTGGTCCTGGATGGCCCCAGGCTGACCTGTCATGACACTTATAACACCAGGAAGGGTTATAAACATGGGTACAGTTCTCATTCCTTTTCCAGGAAATCCCTGGGTCATGGATAGAGTTTATTCCAGGAGTGTCTCCTGTGTATGAATTTGCAGGGAGCTTGTTTCCACAGGCAATGAAGATCAGTGAAAAGGTAATGAGCAGGGATGAAATAGGATCAGATTAGCATTTTAGAAAGACCATTCCAGTAAAACTATGCATTGAAGACATGAGACTAGTTGAGAAAGTAGTTATCACATAGTCTACACACACCCTACAGATAATGCATGTGCTGTTTAGGCACACACACTCTATATAAATCTTTTCTGAAAGTTTTGAGGTATTATTTAGATATAGTGAAAAGCACATATTTTATTTTTTGGGGGGGAGACTGGTCTTGAGCAGGGGTTGATAATTTATAGGCCCCTGTCCAACCACCAGCATGAGTTTTATTAACAATTTTTACTGGAACACAGCCACACTGACTGACAGAATTAGGTACTTCTTATAGAGATGGCACGGCCTTCATAGCCGAAAATGTTCAGTTTTTCAAACTTTTACATAAAAAGATGTCTGCTCCTTGATTTAGAATTCCAAATAATGTCACCTCACGTGAGATGTGAGAAGCTGGGTGCCCTGTATTGGGAGTTCTACCTCCTATCCTTTGTTGACTGTAGTTGCACATTTCACTCCTCTTTCTGTTATAAACCCTCGAATTCAGTGTTAGTATTTTGCTTCAAACTCTCAATAGTTTTTTAAAAAATTAAAATCTCAAACAAGTATTTTATATTTACTGATCTTTTAACCATTTATTTCTTCTATTTTATCTTTACTGATATTCAACATTCATTTCTTCATGAAAATATGAGCTTGAATATAGTAAGAATTTCCCTGAAGCTGCAAATTTAACTTTCTTAAAATCCACAAGCACAGGTGATTAATTTCCACAGCTTTTCTCTTAAATATTATTATGTTATTTTTATTTTAAAAGGATATTGTTTTCTGGGTAAAAATTTTATGGAAAGATTTATTTATTTATTTATTTTTTTTTTTAATCATGTCAGAGATGTGGCTTCCTTATTTTCTGGCTTGCATTGTTTCTTTTGAGAAGTTATTGCCCTTTGATGCTGTTAGTTTTTCTCTTTGACATTTTACTTTCAGCAAATGCTTATGAAATGAATTGGTGGTTTTTCTTGGTGTTTATACTGCCTAGAATTCAATGAACTTCTCAGATATTTGAATTTATATCTTTTAGCCATTGTGTCATCAAATAGATAAATTACATTTGTAAGCAAATATATAAAATACAAATATATATATAATTCAAACATATATATAATACAAATATCTGTATATGTATATATAAATACAAATATATATAAAAATACAAGTACACACAAATATATATAATATATATATATATATATATATATATATATATAATATAGTTTTTGTGTGGTACTAGGGATTGAATCCAGGGGCACTTGACCATTGAGCAACATTCCCAGTTTTTTTTTAAATTTTTTATTTTGAGACAGGATCTCACTAAGTTATTCAGGGTCTCTCTAAGTTGCTGAGACTGGCTTGGAATTTGTGATTCTCCTGCTTCAGTCTCCCAAACCACTGGTATTATAGCTATGCACCACCATGTACAGCTGTATATAGCTATTTTTAAACCAATCTATAACCTTAAAATCTTAATCTGCTAATTTCATCATTTCTGTTATTTTAGAATCCATTTCCTTCATTGATTTTCCTCTGGTTATGAATCATATTTTTCTGCTTTTGCACAGGTCTAGCATTGTTTGTGTGTGTGTGTGTGTGTGTGTTTGTGTGTTTTCTAATTTTACACTGGATATTATGGTTGCCACGTTGTGTAGTTTCTAAACTTTCATGACCTTGCTTGATGGAGTGTAGAATTGTTTATGGAAGAAGTTAACTTCTTTGTGAATCAGAATCACCTTTTCCAGTAACCTTTGTTAGGGTATATCCAGAGTAGCCCTTGTTCTAAGACTCTGTTATCCTTGCTTCAAGGCATGACCTTTCAGGAATGTCTACTGAATGACTGGATGTTTGCTAAGGCCTCTCTCTATATATAGTTTGACATCAAATTTTCTAGCCCCATGCAATCTTTAGTGGTTCATTTCACAGCTCCTATAAGCTAGTCCTTTGGTGTCTTAGTCTGCAAACATACAGCAAAATATTGATTCAGAAACTTGACTTCACAGACTTCCATGATCCCTATGCAGTGTTCTAACTCTCTTTCTCAAAACAGCTGTCCACTCTCTTGGACTCTGTCCTACAATTTCCAGCTTCCTCGTCAGTGTTGAATTCTGATCTGTTTCCATTTTCATGACACTGCTGTACTCTGGGATCTGCTTCCCTGTACCATGATCTGGAAAGTGCACCATGCCAAATGCAAGGAGCCTGGTGGCTTTGCCTCATTAATCTTCACTCGTGGATCAGGGTCCTGCCCTCCCTGTGGTCCTGTCCTTAAGGACAGTATTATTTTAGAAAAAATATATTCTGTCAGTTTTGAAGTTGTTTAGAGAGTTATTCTATCAGAGTCAAAACAAAACATAAGCAATATAAACATTGTTAAATGAATGATGTATGTGTAATGAGTTATAAAATGATTTTTAATGAGAGTTCTCATAGAATAAATTATTTGGCCATCCTTTGAATTCCTTACTTAAACAATGATATGTATTATGTTGATATATCGTACATTGGAACATCCACTGAATATTTTTCTATCATTTCTGCCTGTTAGTAGCTGAACTCACCCCAGATTGTAATGCCTCTTAGCACTAAGTATTATTCAGTATCTTTTTTGTGTGTGAAGCTATAGTGGTAATATTAAGAATATTACTAAAAATTGAGTCTTTTTTGGTTCTAAGTTAGAGTCACTGTCTAATAAATATTCTTATATTCTTACTATTACCAATTGGTTATCCTATTTTACCAAAAGATGATTAATTTTATTCAATGTTTCAAATTATTTTTCTGGAAATATGGTAAAAAGAGTCAGTGGATTCTCTCTCTGAGGTGATATATACTGCCTGTTTCTCTTTCCTCTCACAAGATCAGGGGTCTAATGTAAGATTAGATCTCATTTTAAGAACTACAGTACTTACATTCTTTGAACTCTGAACTTCTTAAGGCAAAATGTATTTGAGAGTTGTGTATAATTGGTTTTTGTTTCATTTATAATTTACTAAAAGTTAAAACCTTTACATGAAAGAAAAGGAATTAGTTAACTTTTTTTTTTTCCTGGTGATTTTAGCAGAAGAGTTCGTGGTAAATTGATCAACCCTCAGCCAATTAGACTTTGACATGTACTAATAAGATCTAATTGAGGAATTATGAAGACATTTGCTCAGGAGAAAATGAGCACATAATTACACCATAAAGAGGTTAAAGAATCAATGTTACCCAGCTGGAAGACTATTAGTTGAAGTCCCAGTGGCATCTATAAAGGACACTTCATAATATATCTGCGAAATACAACACTGACAAGGCCAATTAAGATATGTAGAATAATCTGTTCCAATTGTACAAGTTCAACCTCAAATATTCATCTTTCCCTCTTGCCTCTACCCTCAGGTGCTGGAGGATGGTCTCCATCTGACAGTGACCATTACCAGTGGCTTCAGGTTGACTTTGGCAACCGGAAGCAGATCAGCGCCATTGCAACCCAAGGGAGATACAGCAGCTCCGACTGGGTGACCCAGTACCGAATGCTCTACAGTGACACGGGGAGAAACTGGAAACCCTACCATCAGGACGGGAATATCTGGGTGAGTCATTATCAGAAATGAGAAGAGGGAGACAGAATAGAGGTACCGGTATTTGAAAATGGGAGAGGACCCACAGGTTAACGTACTCCAGGCCCTCCATCTCTTGAGCTGTATGTAGCTTTATTCTTCCATTAGAACTATTGATAAACCAATTATTAAATATTTACTCATTATTTATGTATTTATTCTTGTGCATTGAAGAATTTCCTGAGACTGCAATTTTTTTTTTTTCCAATACTTAGCCATTGGTCTCATTGTACCACAATGGGTCTCAGTCTGTTATGTATTCAAATTACCTGAAGAGGTTTAAAAGTATGTGGATGTCAGTCATCCCCAGAACAAAAAGATCAGAATCACATCAGTGAAAAATATGATTCATGATATTGGTAACTTTTTGAGATAGAGACCTTTAATTAGAATAAAATATTAAAATCATGAGGAAAATAACTTAGAGAAACAGGAGCACTAGCAATTTACCCACACTATAATTGTACTTTATACCCTTATTACAGATCTATATTTATTCTCTTACTGTGATAGAAAAACAAGGTTTTATTCATGTACTCAGAAAAACCCTCAGTTAGATTGGAAAGTAGTATTTATTCAATCAATTATTTAGCACATTTGAATACATTATTTAATACTAAATTTTAAGGAATCTATTGTAGTTTAACTACTTCAAAAAAAGTTACAACGAAAAAGCCATTAATATTATAAGCAAAGAGAAGGACAAAGTGGAGGAGAAGGAAATATTCATGTTTTACATTTTACCCTTCACAGTATTAGATAGAGTACTGGGTACTTTCAACCTAATCAGGCCACTTTTGGGGAATTTATACTTTACAAGAATAAATTTATTTAAAAATGAATAAAAAGAACCCCTGGGTTTAGAATTCCAAGCATGGTTATCACTTCCTCAGCAGTGTCTAATAACAGTAACTATCATGTGAAATAAGGATACCTGGGAAATAATACCTGGGAAATAAAAGATGTGCCTGCCCAAATAATACTCCCTTGGAGCTGTAATTGTATAGCACAAACATGTGTGTATTGGAATATATAACTTATAGGAAACAAGTGTAACAAATGCTTCAGTGGAAAGTCATCTAACAATTATGATAATTCAGTGCCTCAGGCATAATTTATAGCAATGGGATTGTTCACCCAGGATAGACAATGGAATCATGTAAAGAGCTTTAAAACAGATGGTTGCTTATGTCCCAAACTCAGATTTGGATTTAATTGGCCTAACACGCAAAACAGGGAAAGGGGTTTGGGGATTTAAAAGTTCTCAAGGTTATTTTTTAACATTTTGCCAACATTGAGAACCATATTTCAGATTAGCTTCAGTCTGCAGGTAGATTGTGGGTAAAAACAATTTGTAGTGAAAACAAGTGGAATAGAAAATCAGAACTGACCTGCCTTGACACCTAGACAGAGAGCGAGGGACGGAGACTGACCAAGTGAGCAGTCAACTAAACAGCAGATCAGCTAACTGTGTGTGGATAATCAGGGCTGAGATCACACACTATCCAGTTAAGTAAGTACTCCTTATTTTCTGTCTTTCTTTCGAATCTAAGATCAAATTATGTGAAGAGCTGAAAGTCAGACTCCAAACTATCTTTCACATCTGTGTTTTTATAAAGTTTTCACCTGACAATTAAGAAATATTCATATCCTCTGCCCCCTGGATGTGTTAAACTGTAATGAAGATGGCTGCCAAAATGTAGCCACAGGGGATCTGTTCAGGTGCTTAACAGATTAGTCACAGTATGAAGTGAATGAGGAGAGACGAGTTAAAAGGGTGAAAGAAACTAAAATTGTCCAGGATGACATGGGCCTCCTGGTGCCGTTCAAAATACCAAAGCTGTCCTGCGGTGAAAATATCACAAGTTGTGAGTGTGGATGGGGTCTCCAGGGTTCTCAGGTATTTGTGAAGGTGATACAAGATATGTTTCTACAGTCTTCTACCTTTCTGTTTTCATTTTGTTTCATTCTTTCAAACCATATATGTTTTCATTAAAATTATCATGAAATTTTAAAAATCAAGTTTAAAATAAAATATAGATATTGTGAACCACATTTAAGTGTCAATAAGCGCGCCTCATGATGTCTCTAATCTTGACTGTTTTTTTAATGATATATGACAGAAATAATATGATCCTAATATGAAAAATAGTTCATTGCTTTGATGTATTCTAAAAGAGATCAAGTTCATTGACTTTTAAAAATTTGTGAGTACTTCAGAGCTTATGTCTTAACAAGCATTAAGTGATTAGAATTTAGCTTTTGCAATATCAACAAAAATAGTTTAGGCTTAAGTTTATTAAAAATGTTAATTCAATACTAGATTTTCTTTTAATCTGCTACTTCTTAACCTCATGTAATTTGGATTTAAAAGAAAATTCTAACCTCGATTAGATTAGATGGCTTTCGATGAACAACACCTTCTAAGATTTCAGAGTCAAAGGATTTCAAAGTTGATGTGTTTGAGATTGCCATTCCTAAAATGATTGATTACCTCAGAAGAATGTAAGATAATGTAAATTCAATCTCTTCAATATTTAACAAACGTCAGTGGCTATTCTTTATACAGTTGTTGAGAAAATAAATGACATGACTTCTTTTCAATAATATTTTTAAATGTCCATGGGGATATTCTATATTTTTATCATTAGATACTATATTAAAATATAAAATATTAAAATATGCAAAGACCAGAGTATTATGACAGTTTTATAAGACTTTAAAGTCATGAATCTTACATTGTGGAATGAAAATGGCTTTTGAATAGATTACTAACGAGTAGTTTATCTGAATATTTAATGGACAAATTGTAAGTTACTAAATGTTCCTAATTACTCAAACCTTCTACTACTCTTTGATAATACTGAGTATAAAAGAATCCTATATACTTTATTAATGATACCATTTCCTTCTATATAGAATTTCCTTTCAAATGTAAAAGAAATTTGTGGATTGATAAAACTCCCCCCCAGTCATTGAATTAATCTATACCACAAACTATGACTTATGTATTTCTCGGTAGTATTTTCAGGTTTCCTAAGTATAATGTGTGGGAGAGAAAATTATTCTGTATAAGCATTTCTTATCAAAAGTCCATTAGACATTACATTAAATAAGAATTCCAATAGATTTTTGCTAAGAAGGTGAATTCAGTTTTACTTGGTTTTGGAATGCAGGTATTTGGAAAAAAATAGAAAAAATGGATTATTAATAGTGAATACCTTATTCAAATGCCTCCGTTATTTTGCAGGACACTTACTACAAATTTGCCTATACTGTAATATGGACATAGTTATTCTTTTTGAATTATTTTCTTAATCATGAGAAAGTCCTTATATATTCCTAATCATTTTTTTTAAAAGAGCATTAATTCCTTTTGTTAATGGTGGATGCTAAGCAGGTATCAGATTAGGATTAGTTACCTTGTATCTACTAGTTAGAGTCCTGCGGGGAGAAATGTTTTACCACATTTGAATTATATAGTTTGATACTTACCAAAATAAGAACATAAAAGTTTATGTTATCTAATATATTCCAAAGAATATTTCTTTGCATGACCTGTTAAAAGTCTGGATTTTTGTTACATACAGGCTTTTTCTATCCATGTATACACATACATAAAGCTACATTGTTTTTAACAAATTAAAAATATTTCAAAAATCTTGAAGGCAAATATAACAATTAATAGATAAATATATTAAATGTTTTGTTTTCTGAATATCAAATTAATAGCTGGGATTATATACTCCACTATATTTTTAAATAAATATCCCACTAATCAAATTTGTTTGTCAAGTAGATGCCAATACATAAGATTGAAAGGTCTGAGCTGCATGTCTTGGTTCATTTATTTGTTTTGTAAACTTAGAAGATGTGATTTCTTTCTTTTGACCTGAAATCCCTAATCTAAGACATGGGAATAATAGCAACTGGACGATTTAGCTGAATATATAAGTAAAGATTATTTTGCAAACTATGAGGCTTTAGAAACACAAGTGCTGTCAATTATAGAAGCATTCTGTGAATCAAGTGTAGTGTGTCCTTTCAGTGAGAAGAGCCTACAATGATCACTGTCAGGTTTATTCATCACGCTACCTTTTCCCTCTCCTCATGCATGATTTGAAATACCTGACAGTATTGTTAATGAAGGACACATGACTTAAAATAGGAGGTAGACCACACAAATCTCTAGCATATTTTTCAAATTAACAAAGGGAAGTGCATGGCTAAATGCATCTGTAGGTAGGGCAATGCAGGCCGGGCCGGTGACTCATGATAGGGAGGCCCAGCTCTGGGCCAAGTGCCATTGCAATGCTTGTAACAAATTATTTGTTACCATAATGATGGCCCTGTGTGCAATGAGCCATGTAAGGGGACACTGTTCAAAATGAATACATTGTTCTGTGCTTTCTTTTTGGCCATTTGTTATAGCAGTTGCACTAATTTTCCAAACCACTCAAAAATCTGTTCCCATAATGTTGTGTTTTATAAATGTAAAACATGAAAACCTCTGTTTCACAGTTCAGTAGTATACAGAGATTCTCCAAAAAAGTCTGGAATTTTTTTTTCTGCAACTGAAACTAAGGGAGAAAGCCATCCCTGTTGCTTGATCGTGCATCGTCCATCACATGGTATCTTCCACTTCACTTAGCACACTAATACAATTCTCTTCACCAAGAGATGGGAACTACCTGTGCTTGTTTATGTATCCATGTGCCTGGTTTCTGCAATCAGATATTTGAGAAAGGACCAGACAGGCATATTCAAAGTAATTTTATAGATAGCTTATAGAGAAATAAAACACATCAAAATAATCTGCATTAAACACTTTCTAAAATGAGCTTTGATATAAATGGGGTGAAAAATCTTCAGGACTTGTATAGAAGAAAACAATTTCCAAGGTGAATTTTAAGTAAGTTTCTCATTTCTGTGAAATAGATTTTTCTGTTTACTCCCGCCTTTGACTGGGTGAT